ACTAATCATTTTATTATTATTAATTAGAATAATATTATCTGAACATATTATGAACAAATAATTTAGCCATTTTTCACTTTTCATTTGTTGAATTCTAATTTAACTTTCCAAGGCGTATCATCAACAAACACACAGACGAGAGCCTTGGTGACTGCTCCTTTCTGAATACTTGTTTCCACATGGACACTTGTAAATATGTTCACTATGAGATTGACAGCCCTCCTGAAGCAGAGGGTGACGCATTGGGTCCCCAGGCAGGGGCCACTGAGCTTGGACTGCACTCCACTGTGGGAGACAGCAACGTTGGCAAGTTGTTTCCTTCACAGGTAAAATATCGTAAGAATTGACCTGTTCCACAGCTTCGATCAAGCTATAATATACAGTAGTTGACTTGAAGCTGAAATTCGCAAATACCACTATAATATAGGAATATAGAATTAGGAATGGTCTCTTTGGTAAGGTTGCACCAGTTCGTAAGTTCCTGCTCCTACTGGAATGTAAAGTACACACTACTAGAGGCTTAGTAAATACTAGTTAGCATGAAACTAACTCAGTACTTTATTCGTTTGCACCATTTGTTCTTAAGGCAGAATTGTGACCCTGGACCACAAAACCAGTCTTAAGTGTCAATTTTTCGAAATTGAGATTTATACACCATCTGAAAGCTGAATAAATAAGCTTTCCACTGATGTATGGTTTGTTAGGATAGGACAATATTTGGCCGAGATACAACTATTTGAAAATCTGGAATCTGAGGGTGCAAAAAAATCAAAATATTGAGAAAATCGCCTTTAAAGTTGTCCAAATGAAGTCCTCAGCAAGGCATATTACTAATCAAAAATTAAGTTTTGATATATTTACGGTAGGAGATTTGCAAAATATCTTCATGGAACATGATCTTTACTTAATATCCTAATGATTTTTGGCATAAAAGAAAAATCGATAATTTTGACCCATACAATGTATTTTTGGCTATTGCTAGAAATATACCCCAGCGACTTGAGACTGGTTTTGTGGTCCAGGGTCACAATTTAGCTAATAGGTTGTAAGCTCTGGAAAATAATGTATAGTCAGATAATATGACGTGTACCCTCAGTGATCTAATAGCAGCCTTCAAATACGTGAGCAGAAGTTGTGTTGCAATGCCATACATTTCTGTTTATCATTGATCTGAACTTATTTTGCCTCATGTAACTAACGATACAATACATTTCCATTGTAATAAGATACTACTTACTCAAAATTTATTTATTTCACATGCACAACATGGACCGATGCCCACGAATGCACTCTGAGTTTGTGTTGAAGAGCCGCTAACAAAGTAATTCATTCACATAATGTTCCCTCTCTCTCCAATTCTAAGCAAGTGTAAATGTCAACGTTAACCTCTATGTCTAAATGATTGAAGTCTGTCAGGTTAAACAAGAGCTTACTGAGGTAATTCCGTCAATATGCTATTTGTTTCAACCGTTACACCTGGTTGTAAGCTTCCGTTAATATGCAGCGTATATGTAGAGTTACATTTGAACTAAGTTTATTGGTGCAACGCAAATGTAGTAGTAATGCGTAAGTTGTAACTTAGTGCCCCTTTACATCAAAAATAGTTGTAACTTATGTACAGCTGGTGCAACTGGCCCTAGTATGTGTTTCTGACCTGCAATTGCAATCTTCTCTCATTCTCTCCTTTGCTGTTGCTGTTCTTGTATTTGTCTACATATTCGAAAATTTTATTATGATTTCAAAGGTAAAAACTGTGATTGCCATTTTTATTTTAGGACATAAGAGATATATGCCCTCTGACTTTATTCCCATCTCAGTGGATTTGCTGTGACATCCGTTATCTGGATGTGTCCATCCTGGGGAAGTTTGCAGTGGTGATGGCCGACCCACCTTGGGACATTCACATGGAGCTTCCATATGGAACACTCACAGACGACGAGATGAGGAAACTCAACATTCCTATTCTGCAGGATGACGGTTTCCTCTTCCTCTGGGTGACAGGAAGGTAGGGGCTCTGGGGAATGACTGAACACAAAGCTTCTTGAGACCCTTTTATCTCAGTGTAACAAGATTTTGCATCACTTTTACCACACTGATAAATGTAAACTTGATACCAAATAAAATCATCCTGTAATAAAATTTGTGATTATAACACGGATGTTTTTGATATTCCAGAGTTACATTTTCCAAAAGCTTCTTTATTTTGCATGCCATAAGAAAAGTTATCTATGAATAAATGACATGAAAAATTGAAAGGAGGTTATGTAATGCTATCTTGGCAACAGTCCAAATGCAGGTCAACAATAGTTAATTTTCTGTCTTCACAGAGCTATGGAGCTGGGCAGAGAGTGTCTAAGCTTATGGGGGTAGGTGATTTTACATGTGGAAAATGTAAAGTGAGTGATCTCTTTAAATATAACTGAATCTGTAAACTAAATCTTTTTGTTTTCTGTCACTCAATTAGCTATGAGCGTGTAGATGAGATTATTTGGGTGAAGACTAACCAGCTTCAGAGAATCATTCGTACTGGAAGGACTGGACATTGGCTAAATCATGGCAAAGAGCATTGCTTTGTAAAGGAAACCCACAAGGTTTTAACAGAGGCCTTGATTGTGATGTAATAGTGGCAGAGGTCAGTCATAACCATTATAACTGATAAAGCAGTGATGAATTTAAAGGGGTCATATGATGCGATTTCATGTTTTCCTTTGTCTTTGAAGTGTTAAAAGCTGTTCGTGCATACAGAAGATGTGTAAAGTTGCAAAGATTAAAGTCTCAAACCCAAAAAGATATTCTTTATAAAAGTGAACGCTCAGCCACGCCTACCTAAAACGCCTCGTTCAAACACACCCCCACATGTCTACGTCACTGTGTGGGAAGATTTGCATAACACCGCCCAAATGTTCACGCAAAGAAAGAAGGCGTAACTTTTATTCTTGCTGTAGTATTGTTGTTGCCGCCGTGTTGTGGAGACGCTGTGTTTCGTTGCGAAAGCGAAACGACTTTGTTTGGCCTTCCAAAAGAGGACACGACTAGAAATCAGTGGTTACGTTTTATTTACAACACTGTTCCAGAACAGTTTAACCCAAATATTCAGATGTGTCCAGCGCATTTTACGGAGGAAAGTTTCCTGAACCAAGTAAAGGGCGTAACATTTCCGTCACACGCTTGAGATATTCGGCCAATCACAACACACTAGATAGCTGGCCAATCAGAGCACACCTCGCTCTTCAGACCGATGAGCTTTGTAAAAATCGACGCGTTTCAGAAAGGCGGGGCATAGAGGAGCAACAATAATATATGTTATGTGGAAAATAATGTGTTTTTTAAACCATAAACCGAGTGAACACATTGCATTACAGCAAATACACAAAATAATGTTCTTTTTACCAACGTCATATGACCCCTTTAAAGTCAGTGATGATCAGTGCACTAAAAGAACATCTGTCTACACAAAAGGTCCGCTCCACTAGTCATAAACCAGATGAAATCTATGGAATGATTGAGCGTTTGTCACCAGGTACACGAAAGATTGAATTGTTTGGGAGACCACACAATGTGCAGCCTAACTGGTGAGTCAGACATTAGCGAACTTTTTTGATTTCCAAATCACTTTACGTGACTAAGTACATTTTTGAAGTAATCAGATGTGCTGTTCTCTTTATTACTAACTTGCTTGTTTTCTCTGATCTCTCTCATTCACACCCTGTTTTGTTTTCCAGGATAACTCTTGGTAATCAATTGGATGGTATTCATCTTTTAGACCCTGAAGTAGTTGCACGTTTTAAGAAGCGCTACCCTGACGGAGTCATCTCCAAACTTAAAAACATGTGAGGACTGGGCTAGTGAAAGAATGTACAGCTATTGGTTGAACTCTGCCACAGGATTCAAGACTAAAAGATAGTTTCAAACGACTGCTTCAGGAACAGACTTTCATACCACTTTGCTTTTTTTTTTTTTTTAATAAAAATACTAAACCACATTTTTTGTTGTCTTTCTGTACAGACGGATTAATGATTTCACAGGTAATTCTTTAAAGGCAACTTTTTTGTTGTTAGAACAGTATAAAAAACATACTTGTTTCTCTTTTTTTTTTTAAATATTGTTTTATTGTTTTTAATTATTATTTTTACAATCATCAGTAAAAACAACAGTTCATGTGCTGTTCTATTTTAATTTAGTTTGCTGTCTTTTTTATTTGTTATAAAATTTTGTATATATAAAATTGATTGCATACATAACACAAAAAAATATCTTCTCTTTCATATTGTGACTTCAAAGGTGTAACAGTGTCTTGTGAATTCTGTTCTTTTACTGGGTTAGGGTGTAAAAATCCACATTTAATGTTTAAAAAACAAAAATTTTAATACATGTGCACACAACAACGTGAAGAAGTCCAGATTAGGCCTGTCGCAATAATCATTATATTGACTTATCGCACAATATATGTACATGACCTCAATAACTTTTGGTGACGCAATATATCGCCCATTATATTTACATAAAAATGTATGTCACCATGTTTTTTGCATTCCACTTGCGCCTGTGTCTTTTGCAGCTTCTCTTACATAACGTGGTGCAGTTGGTGCTAGTTCAAATTAAAAAAAAAATGCTTCTACAAACAAAGTTTCATCTGCAGATATGGTCTTGTTTAGGGATCTGTGCCTTTGTGCATACGGACATCTGACTGCTGAGTAGTGATTGTGTTTTTCAGCAATAAAGTGCAACCTTAATTTACAGAGAAAAGAAGGTCAGGGAAAAATGTCCATACAAGTTATTTGTGAATTTTTCTTTTTTCTACTTGTTACTTTGCACTTTTTGTTAGAAAATGTTTGTTTACTATTTAAGGTATCTAATATTTTGACTTCATTTTCATGATCTAAATATTCTTAAGAATTAAAAGTTTGTCATTTGAAAGTGTGTAGGCCTTCTTGCATTATTATGCTATTATATTATGATTATATATTCAGTGGCATAAAATGGTCTTAAAATGACAATAATATCGTGTATCGCATTTATTTCTGGGGCAATATATTGCACAACAAAAAGATGTTATCGTGACAGGCTTAGTCCAGGTACACATCATTAGCATGTAAAACCTGTTTTTTCAAACATGTAACAAGCAATGAGTGGATCACAACAAACATCTCCATTCACTTGATTGGTTTTATAAATGCAATACGAAGAAAAACTTTAAAAAAGATTAAAAAAAACAGGCCATCTTCATATTAATACATTAGTTGGTAAGATTTAACTTACATAAAGTCCATGAAACAACCATCTTTAATAGAATTGTTCCAAAAACACTTCTCAAGCAAAATGTGTTTATGGACAGGGCATATTTCGAGAAGCCCTGAAATCTAAACATAATTTTAAAAAAAATATTAAAGTTAGAGCTGTGCACACTATGTTAATGGACCTTGATGCAGTTGTAGAAAGAAAAATAAGCTTTAGAAACCTTTCTGTTTATGTAAAAGAAACATTCAGTTGCTTTACAGTAACAGTACACACTGAATTTATGACCAGCAAGGCAAAGCGTGGTTGACTTTATTAGGTAGACTGCTATTCATCAACGTATCCTACTGAACAAATTTATATCTGGCTCAAAAAACCCAATTGCATTAAAATGTCAGTGTCTCCTCAGATAAAACCAGTATCCAGTTCAGATACTGCAGATGCATGTATGGCAGAGGCTGTGGAGGGCAAATGCTACAGGCTAGAAAAAAAGCACTTATTGGTTATCATGTAAACATACTGTAACTCTTAAGAGTGTTTCATAATATCCCCTTTCACCAAATTACACTCAGCTGTACCATTTTACACTCGTGCTGTATTGTTAAATTAGAGAAATTCAGACACTTATCTTGACATTGTTACTACAATGCATACAGCTGACGCTCATGACTGTCCATAGGCATGCAAGGAGAGGCAAACTTCCATGCTGCTTGTTCCTCCTAATGGCTCATCCTCCAGTTCCTCGCAAAAACTCTCCAATAAAGGACTTAAACTGGACTGGGGCTGTAAATCGGAAAATTACTTTTCAAGGATTTTCCAGAGACCGCCTAAAGAACAAAGTTAGTATGTGGCATCCACTGCATTGATGTTGCTATCCATCTGGTGTCGAAGTGAGAGCCGAGCCTTGTGGGAAAAATAGGCCTGTGGGCAACTCAGACTGCTGCTGCTGTCCCCTTCACTGCCCCAGGAAGTAGTGGAACACAGCCGAGGTTTCACCTCTTCACTTGCTACTGCTGAATAAGCAGAAAAGAAAATAATAATATAATTATCTCGCTTCATAAAAACATATAAAAATATAAAATAAAAAGAATATGAAACATATATAATTGTCACACCTTACAAAATTATAATAAATACTATCTAAAAATAAAATGTTAATGCACTTATAAATGCAGTAAAAAAAAAAAATATATATATATATATATATCTCACGGGGAGCAAGGGAACGAGGAAACGAGGAGATGCGGGAGTTGCTCAAAACCAATAGACTTTAATGATATAAAATAAAACCGG